GAGGGGGGAAAGAGAAAGAGAGAGAGGATGTTTACCATGCTGTGGAGCTGCCTGCTTCCCAGCTTGTCTGCCTCAGCCCCAGCCTCAGACCAGAGACAGAGAGGGAGAGAGAGAGAGAGAGAGACATAGGGGGAGGGAGGAACTGCATCTTTCTTCCCTTCCCTCCCTCCCTCCCTCCCTCTTTTTGCGCCAATTTTCCCCTCCTCCCCTCTTGCTTTTATATTTCTTGTCTTCGCCTGCCCTCTAAAGGCCAAAGGGCTTTGCGCTCTGTGTGTGTGTGTGTGTGTGTGTGTGTGTGTGTGTGTGTGTGTGTGTGTGTGTGTGTGTGTGTGTGTGTGTGTGTGTGTGTGTGTGTGTGTGTGTGTGTGTGTGTGTGTGTGTGTGTGTGTGTGGCAGTCAGACTGCATCTGGCGGGTGCACCAGGCAGTGGCTTTTACTCAGCATGTGCATTTCCTCCCTCTGCTCTAGCTTCATAGTCGAGGTCTTAGCGAGACATTTTCACATTCATGTACACACACACATGTACACACACACATGCACACACACACATGCACACACACACACATGCACACACACACACACACACACACACACACACACACACACACACACACACACACACACACACACACACACACACACACACACACACACACACACACACACACACACACACACACACACACACACACACATAAAGGATGGTGTAATTACCCTGTGCTCTCATGTAATCCCCCAGGTGTTGTATTTATCTCCACTGCAGCATATCTGACACCCAGCGCCAATACCTGGATTCACTTCAGTCGTCGTCCCTGCACCAAACCATTCCCCAGCTTCTAGTCTCATAACAGTGTGTGTATGTGTGTATTACATTATAAGCAGCACGTGATGCTATTTTCATGTCCTCCATTAGAAAATATGTAATTGAGCACTGGCTATGACCGTTGACGTCTTAAGTACTGAGTGCAGTTGAGCTGTGTGGTGGGACATTACAGTGTGTTTTATATCCCAGGATAGATAATTAGGAGCAACTGCTTCTATTGTAGTGTAAGTAGGCAGGGAGGAAAATAAATTTAAAATTGTGGAAAAGCAAAAGACACAAGCTGATGCTTAATGGAAATAAAAGGGAGAAAGTCAAGCAGGTAAACATGCAAATGTGACAAACGGCAGACAGCACGCACCGGCAGACACAGTTAGCTTTCAGGCAGACAGATCAACAATCAAACAGGCAGCCATACAGTCAGCCCTTTACACTTTCAGGCAGCCAAGCCCAGGGCCGTGCTGCGGGGGCCCTCTCCTCCCCACACCAGTGTCATCCCTCTGGTTGGAGCCTGTCTGTCAAGACACAGGTTTGACACAGTGACGTCGGGGAAACGCAGGCACTTGCATATATTGCGTCGCTTTCTCTTGTGCCGGTAAGTGTGTGAGTGAACAGAGCTGTGGTTGACAGAACGAAAGCTTGAAGAGACAGTAGGTTGGACTAAAAGCACTGCAGCAGATACCTGTTATTTTATTTTGGGTGGCAGTTTTGTTTTTTGTTCAGATAGTTTTATAGTCATTTCCGATTTTCACAAGAGAGTAGAAGGGAAGTGTAGTGCAGCAAGATTTCTATTGTTTGACAATACAGTTCTAAATGGGAACCTGGCTGTAGCGTAAGTGCTGCTTTATCTGGTGCTTTATGCTTAAATTATCCCTATTTCTGTTATACTCATTGACATATCTTTGCTGCTGTAACAAGCGATTTTCCCATGAGAGGAGAACATACTGTAGGAGTTATTTAACTGATGCATGGAATTCCTGTATTTCAAGAGGGACTGGTGTAAAGTATTTTAAAAATGTAGTTCAGTGCACACAATTACATTTTTTTCCACCCTTTGTTAATTTTTGTGTTCTCTATATTCGGTAGCTGTTCCCTGTCGCTGTGTTGTGCCAGCTGAAGACAAGTACTGCTGCAATAATTGTTGGAGAAAGGAGAAGTATTAAGTACAATTGAGAGCAGAAAACCTTGTACTGCATTTTTCCTTGAAAACACTTTACAGAGCACTTGGATTCGTGGCCCAAAACCAAGCACTCTGTAGCATCTTACAGGCCCCCTTGCAGACCTCAGTCCAAGGCTGGTCCTCTGAAAAGGGAGGCACAGAATAGGATGCTTTGTGAAGAAAAACAGCCTCGCTCTTCCATCCCATCTTTTTTAGAGCACATCCGGAAGTGACAAAGATGGATCCGTTTTCCAGCAGACATGACTTTGTGTCTTCCTGTGTGTCTCTATGGGGTACTATAGTAGTGTTTTTTTTTTTTTTTGACAAATGCACATTCTGGTAGACCTGAAACAGTTTGATATATGTCCGCCATGGTTGGCTTCACACATTAAAGCCACTCCTACTGGATGAGTGTAATAGCGAGGACAGCTTGTTATAGAAACCTGGTGATTATGACCTGCTGTGAACAACCTCACTCTATTTCACACGCCACGTCGCTCCGTCCTCTCCCTCCCCTCTGCCTTTCTCTTGTGGCCACTTTGATCAAATCTGTGCTCTTACGTCCTTGACTGCTGCCCCCGATGCCTGACCCCTGCATTTGAAATTTCCCCGCTTATGTAAAAGTTTATGTAGATTAATGCCACAATTTATGCAGATTCAGTTTTTGCCACTCAGGCTTGAAGCACTAAAAAGGTAGATGAGCGCTGACCTTCCCCGCTAACAGCTACGTGAGCTCTCACCGATTATCTCATAACTGCTGCACACAGTGTTGGTTCTGTGGCAGACAGAGAGATGGAGAGCAATTTCAGAATTCATAACGTTCCATTTTTAACTTTTTTTTAACAGTGTCATTTAAAGCAAAGCTGTCTTTTTGTCAAATGGCCTTTGGGAGGCTTAGTAAGTGTGGTTTATGCCACAATGCACCACACACACGATTGTCCCTCTAAAACATCATGCTTCCTGCAGCCCCACAGTGTCTGTCAAACAGAAACAACTGCCAGCAGTGGTATCAAGCAACAGTCTGTGTGTCACGCCGAGCCTCCACAGAGCCGTAAACTTGCAAGTGGCTGCAGCATTGCCGAGGTCTAACAGTCAAGTGCCATCAAGAGCAGTTTGCCATAGAAATGGGTCTATCTGAAAGCAAACAAAAGGCTCACATTTGACTTGAACGCTCCATGTAGGCTAAGTGGCACAGGCCTGTCTGACACTGGAAAATGGCTTTCAGTCAGAACAGACAAAGCAGAAGAGTAGAGAGAGTAGACGGTAAATGTCACCGTTCTAACTTTCCTGGGGGGAAAAGTGTTAAATTCAGCTGCGACTGTCATGTCCAGTTTGAATGTAGTGAAGCAGGGCCGAAAGGGTAACGCTGAGGTTGTTGGAGAGGTTTTGAATGTATAGATATTTGTATTCCTCTTTAGGATTTTTAACATTGATGTACCTCCTCTGCCTCTTTCACTTGAAATAATAGCAATGATCTTCATTGTAACTGCAAGCGTAGACACAGTATCTGTAGCGCAGTCACACATGATTTTGATTAATGCATTTTTCATCCTCACAAACCTCTTTTTCACACCTCCTATAAAGAGTGAACTTTTAGCCGAGCAATTTTCTGATCTCGCATTCGAGGTCTGTTGCGACTTTGACACCCTCCAGTAGCTCTCTGTGTTAGTGTTACTGATGATACCGATGAGCTCACTCACAGCATTACATCAAAAAACACTAGCAGGAAAGCAGAGCCTCCATCAGGTCACTAACCCTCTGTGCCTTTTACACAAACACAAAGTGACCCGCCAGTCACACAGTTAAGACAAGGTGTCAGCTGAAGTTAGCGCTGAAGTGAGCTAAAAGCCCCGGCTGGCACGGAGGCCCAGTGGGAAAACAGCTGTTCACTTTAACTACTCACTTCACTGCAACTGTGTGTGTGTGGGAGAGCGTCTGCGTATGCACTGTCCAGGACATGTATTCATGTGTGTGTGTTTTCTGTGCGCTATTTATATCTGTTACTGTGTCCCGCCGTTGACCCGCATGGTGTCTTTTCCGCCTAATGTGATGCTGCAGCCTACAGTAGGTTGCCTGCACATGAGTCTGTCATGTTATCACTGATGTTTCAGCTGGCTGTTTATATTAGACTTGTTAACCTCCTATTCATAGGCCTAACTGCCACTTTAAAATCAACTATTTAAAATCTGATTACATCCTGCTACATTTCAGCATGCCAAAACTCTAGGTGGGTGTTACCTAATATTATAATTTACAGTCCTCCTCCACTTAAAAATATGTTTTTCTTCTTGTTCCTACAGTTTTCTGTTTGAACTTCACTGTGCACTGGAAGGATGTTTTCACAAGTGGAAAGTGTCTCTGTGCTCACTTGAAATCGGAATTTTAAGGATCAGGCCTGATTTGCGACATCACAAGTAGTATGTTTTAATACATGTCTGAAGGGCATCTTTAAAACTCCTTACCAATATGTTCATTGTGCTCTGAACAAGTAGTTTCAAGTGACTCACATCCTTCCTTTCTTTAAATCTGGGAGGCAACTGAAAGATGAGCTGTAGTGAACGCGGGTCAAACAGTATTTATCTTAAGTAGTGTTTGCTTTTAGATTTTCAGTTTTGTCATGTTGTGTGTGTGAAGGTTGTGACATGCTCAAACTGCCCATGCACGCACTTTGTCTCGAGCACTCCAACAGCTGAATACATGATGTGCTCTCATCCTTGCACTTTCATATGGAGAGTTAATTCAATATAGACATTTACACATCCTGTTAAAGTCTCTTTCTGTACAGTATTAATGAAGTGTTTGGTGCTATCAGAACAATCTTGAGTTAACTTTTGAATGTGTTTTTAGTTCTGTCAGGATTGTTGCAGATTGTTTCCTCTTGCTGCAGAATGTGTAATGGGGAAATGTGAGCTGTCGTGTGTAGAATATGCCACACCTGCAAGATAGAAATGTGATAAGTGACTGCAGTCATAATCCGCAATGGTTGTGTGGTCTGATCCTGTATACCTTTGCCCCCTCCAGGCTCAGCTCTCCTGCAGCAGACTGATGGAGATGGTCGGACACCCCTGGATCTGGTCTCTGCTACAAGTGAGAGGGAGGAGCTCCTCCACAGCGCACAGGTCGGAGACTCGGACCTGAGAAACAGGGCAGTAACTCAGGTGTTGAACCTGCCCCTCCTGGAAGCCGGATCCTCTTTGCTGGCTCACCTAATTTTCTCCTACCAGCAAGAGAGGGGCCTGTTCGGCTGCGTGCAGCCCAGGGACAAATCCCACAGCCTGGTCAGGGCCCTGGAAGCATACTCCCTCCAAAAAGTGACTTTGGGCTGGACGGACCAGCGGGTAGTGAAGCTGGTGGAGGATGCAGAGACACTGTTGGAGCTCAGCAGGGGGAGGTATCTGGGGCAGGTGTCTCAGGCAGTGAAAGAGTGCAAAGGAGAGAATATACAGTTCCTAATGGAGATACTGGAAGATCTTAAGTCACGGGGAGAAGCGCTAGTGGCTGACCTCTGACAGGATCAACACACACAACACACTGAAAAGACTGAATGCACAACTTGTGATTAAAATGTTATCAGTTATATACAACTGTTCATTATATGTTCATACAATTCACAAAGGCCTTAACATGTCTACACAGGCAACAAACACCATCTGGTCGGATATATGCCATGTGGCCTTCTATCTTCCCTTTCAGGTAAATGGGTAAGCGTGTGTTTTGGAAGTTACATGTATGTTCATTTCTACAGAGAAACCATTTTAAAACGACATAAATATCTATAAATATATATATATATATATATCACACACATACACCTGGTTTTAGTTTAAAATACTTCATACTTGGCAGGAAGAATGTATTTATGTTGAATGTTCACACAGTTGCACATTTTTAGGGCAACACTAACATTTCTGTTACACTACTACCTCACGTTCTTGTTTTCTACGGCTACTTAATGTTCAAAGATAAAAATATTTTAATTTACGTTTTTTCTTTTGTTAATATCTATTATTTATGACAATAAATGAAAGTGACTTCATTGACTGTTAAACTCCCATGCCAAGGTGTTAACAAATTTGGCATTGAATCAAAGTGGTCAAGTCTTTTATTCCACTAAATCAGAGGAAATGGCTTCTGCAGCATAAGGCTGAGAGGTGCTCTAACAAATGGAGTGGCTTCATGAGGGGGCAACATTGAAAGAAAGTAAAAACCAGTTCTCACAGTAGTCCTCTGAGATCCTTGAGGCACAGATGTGCACTCAGGGTCTCAGCCACACAGACAGCAGTGAGGAATGAGCCACTTCCTGAAGCTGAACATGAATGAAGAAAGGGGCTGAGGTCTGCTTGTTGGGGTGGGTCGAGTGTGCCATGGAGCAACGGAGGTGAGGAGAGGGTGATTTAAACCTGAAACGTGAACACTGCTGGTATCTGAGACTGAGATGAATGGCTTTATATTCCCTTCGCTGCTACCAGTATTGGCTTAGAAATTAAATTGTTGATGTGGACACAATTTTTTACAAAAACCCAAACACTGTCAAGATGATAAAAAATATTTAATCTCGTGTTTTTCCTTTTTTTCAAAATAAGCAACATACATCAGATGCATTTGATTTCTCAAACCAGAAATATACATCATATTCTATTTCACCCCTCCTGACCAAACCCATGTCTCAGCTCCCTATTCCTGTCCTGAAATGTCATTGGTCAGAACTGGGCACATGAAGATGATGTCACTGGCAGGCAACATCGCAGGCGGAAAAAGACAGATCTTAGAAAATGAGACAGGCATACACCTACATTACAATATCATCACCAGACCATCAACAGGCATACTGTATAAAATATAACATAAATTAATAAGAAGTAAGCTATTTACAGTATCATTTAAAAAATAAATAGTCTCATTTCAACTTGGTGCAAATAAAAGTGCTTTTTTTTTTCCCTTTACAGCTGTCAGTCTGATACATTCCTCTATAGAATTTATTTTCTCTACATCATACAAAATAAAAACACTTTGGTTTGCTTGCAAACGGAGCCTAAACCCAATGACAAAAAATAAGAAACTGTTTTTGGATGCAATACCACACAATAGTCACCACAAATTTCTGTAAAATAACTACATACAGTAGTAGACGCATACATATCAGGTATTCAAACAGTCCCTTCAGGCATTATAAAAAGCCATCCTTCACGAGCCACAGTGTTTGTTGAGGAGGCTATAATCAGTCTGCGACGCTGCTCTTGGGGGACAGTCTGTTATTGTCTTTCAAGTGGATTCCTCAAAGCAACAAAACAAAATCAATGGCCCTCTGGAGTGACAGATCCGAGCCTGTTGATATTTAAGCATGGAGATGGATGGGTAAAGAGGGAGGGAGAGGGTAGAGGCGATGGCTGGCAGACAGGCAGGGCGAGAGGATGACAAAATGGCTGAAGAGAGCTCCAGTTGCGGTAGAGAGGGGGTTTAGAGTGATAAAGAGACAGAGAGACAGACGAACAGACAGACAAAGGGGAAAGATGGAGGGGGGGTGGTGGTGGTGGAGGCAGGGATCAGTAGGATGAGAGGAGGCCTCCTCAAATGTAGCCTGAGCTGTGATCTTTCAACAGATGCTCAGCAAGAAGCCCAGGAGACCATCCCTTCAGACAGGGTCGCAACCCCGCTCACTGACGAATGAGGGAACCGCAGAGAGAGCAAACGGAGAGAAGCACGATGGGAAGAGAGGGTCTGAAATAGCATAAAACACACATACACACATCCCTCCATCCCTGACATCTCAGGCCTAAGTCCCCTCAGAGCCTTGTCTTGTCACACAGCGACTTGCTGCTCATCTAGCTGACGGCCTTCTACACCAGCAAACTCCACACCAAATAACAGCTGGCACTTCTGCTGCAGCACACACACATGCTTTTACATGCTGACACACACACACACACACACACACACACCGACTCAATCTACGCATCAGTCTACAGCTGGAGGGGAGATACAATTGTAACACACACCAACGCTGAGAAAAGCAACATGTCTTTGATTGCATAAACGTGTATACGCAAACACTCTTACATACACAGTTCACATACACAAGCCTCTGTCTCTGGAAAGACAGATCAAAGTTGAGCTGTGGGCACAGGAGGTGGGGCAGATGGAGAGGGCGGCCAGCCTGGGGCACAGCATCACAGAGAGCATGTTTGTGCGAGTGTGTGTGCCTGAGAGGGAGAGAATGTGCCTGTTCAAATGGGATGTTATGCTTTCATCTGTAAGCAAGAAGGTACAGTATGTGTATGTGAGATCTCTTAAAAAAGCAGCGTATTCACATGAGAGAATGGGGTGGGGTGGGGTGGGGTGGGGTGGGGTGGGGTAGGGGGTTTGTGTCTACATGCATGCATGCATGCTTGTGTGTGTGAATGCTCTTGTGTGTGGCCGCCGAGGCAAACACACGGGGACATGAGAGGAAAGGAGACCAGCCTTTCAAACAAGATTAGGCCTGTGGCTGCCTAAAGGCCTGCCTGCCTGGCGACACTCTGCATAGACTGGGTGACATCTATATTAACACCACGACAGCAGAAGGCCCAGTCTGCTGCGCCTCCTGACAGCCGGAGAAGGTGTCTCACTGATTGACTGACTGGGGATTTGGACATGTTTTTAAGGGGTTAAACGAGGCTACAGCTGAACTATATGGACACTTAGTAAGTGATAAAGGTTTGGGGCATAATGCCAACTGTCTAATACTCAACAGTGTTGCTCTTTTTTCCTCTGGGTATTATTTAATGATGATTATGTAATCACAATCTATTTTAAGAACAGACTCACTGTACTTTAAACTAAAACCACTTTGTTTGAGTCAAGTCTTTAAAAAAAGCTAATTTGTCCATTGTGTAAAAGCACAGACAGATACCACCACAAGCTTTCAGCCTGTTGGTCCAATTTTGGGTTTGTGTGGAAGGACATATCTGGAGGCTACTACCATAATTGCTAATCAACTTGGCTGGCTGAGTTAAGTGGAGACAATCCAAATGACTGCCAGTGAACATAACATCATTACCACATCCAAAAGGGGAAGAAAACAAAAGATACTTCAGTACAAAAACAATTACAAAATATAAACATATTACCAAAATCATTTAATAACTACAATACGAGCTAAAAAAACCCCTTAATAGTCTATTGAAGAGCAATAATGCAGAATGTTAGTATAAGGCTTGTATTTTGATAAACATGGACAAACTGACAATGTCTTTTTGGGATGGTGAGTTTAAATGTTAAAACTCGTTTTACTCATTGTTTGACACTTGTGGCAAGCAAATGGTCAGAGTCCTCTGAGCTGTCAGAGTGATGGAGAGAAGAAAGGAGGACAGTGGCTCACACGGCTGAGAAAAAGGTCATTTCATCCATCCTTCCCAATCGCCTTTAAAATCAATCAAAAGCATAAGGGTGATGAGAATAATTCAAGAGATTACTTGTACTTGTCTTTTTTCATACAAAAATTACACTTCAGGAAACTGCACTGTACATCGTGAGTAATTAAAGACAGAAGAATGTTTAAGAGAAGAAAATAGGAAAGAAAAAAAGGAAAAAGGATAATTGAGCCGAGTGGGTCCAGAGCCGCCTTCCTCTGCTCCTCAGTGGCCAGTAATAGACCACGAGAAGAAAAGTAGAGAAGAGAGGAGTTGGTGGGTGGACACAGTCATCTACCCGGGGTTGTTTTTCTTCCTTTTATTTGGACTGGGATTGGGATCCAGTTTCAGCTCTCGGTACTGCACCTGTTAAAACACACAGAAACACACACGCAGGCATGCACACACGCACACACACACGCACACGCACGCACACGCACACAACACACACCACCCGGTCAGGTGGAAAGAGCAAAGGATGCTTGAATAGCACAGAAACCCTCCAGAGGCTCTCTGAGTCCAGCTGTGTGGAACAGTGGCCTCAGGGAGGGGATTACACACTGATTACAACACACACATGCGCACGCACACACGCACACACACACACACACACACACACACACACAGATGCACAAAAAGACACTCACATGTGCATACACATACACAATCCATGTGCACTGTTAAAAGCTCCAGATACACAGACACACAAATATACACACATACTTCCACAGATGTGGGACAGTGGCCTACGGGAAGGGATCACACAAACAAACAGAGAACAGGGCAAGGCCTCATGGGAAAGCTTGGAGAGACAACAGAGTCATCTCAGCATGGCAAGATGGTGAGGAAAGAAAGGGCAGAGAGATGGGAAGTAGAGAGAAGGTAGGAAAAAAAATGCATCATAACCCTTTCAAAACCAAAGCCTAGAGCTGGTGGTTATAGCTACTACAGTATCAACACACTGCTTATCCATTATGTTCATCATTACACCAGCTACTGATGAGGTTACCAAACACACAAACATACTGGACATTTTCACTGTGTTTGCATCATTCATGGTACATGCAAACATTTCTCTCCACTAATAATGAGTGGACACTACAAAATATGTGATACCTGATGAGGCTCAGCAGGAGGAAAAGAGGAACTTCCAGAGTTTCCTTTTTTGATTTACTCAAGGACAGCAAAAGGAAACACATTGACATGGTTGATCGCAGAGCCTCATGTTATGCCTCGTGTTTTGTTAACAGTAAAAGCTGACCTAAACTCACCCATTTGCTACACGACTACATATTCTGTGGCCCTACTTTGCCTGACCTTAAAGAAACAATATGACATTTTGGGAAATACCCCTTACAAAAGAGTTGGATGAGAAGAGTGGTACCACTCTCATCTGTGTCAGCTAAATATGAAACTACAGCCATGAGCTGGTTAGCTTATCGTAGCATAAAGACTGGGAAAAGTGGAGTGTGAACAAGTGGTTTTATGGGGCTTATGTTCTGGACTATTTCTTTTGAATAGTGAAGTCCCAGGGTCTTATTATCACTGTGAGGTTGCCAAAAAAACCAGCAGGGATTCCCAGAATTTACTGTGCCAGACCAAATAATAATCCAGCAAATAAAAATAACTCCTGTAAGCAAAACCATTTTTTTAGACTTTGGTTTTTGTACAGATTAAATGAACATAACATGTTATTAGTGAGCTTTGGAGGTGCTGGTAAGCAGCTTATGTTACCTTTGGACAGATCCAGGCTAGCTGTTACCCCCAGTTTCTAGTCTTTATGCTAAGCTACGCTAACCATCACCTGGCTATATCTTCATAATTAAGACATATGAGAGTGGTATCTGTCTTCTCACAGCAAGAAAGTGAATAACTAAAAAAAAGTTATATTAAAACTATTCCTTTAATAGTATGATTTACCCACATTCAATATCTAATGAGTACTTGTATCACCATTGTATCACTAAAAACTTAAAACAGACATTTTAGTGGCACCTTACAATCACTTCAGAATATGTTCAGCATTATCAGTGAGGGAGCGTCAACCCTTTCTTCCAAAGGGAGCTGATTACCACTTCATGTGATGCTTTGCAAAGATGGTGAGCAGAGCTCTTCATCTTCAGAGTTGGTGCTCTTAAGTGATGGACACTCAATACGCAACAGCATCACAGTGGCTGAGCGTCAACAACCGGGGGCTGTCACTCTGGCAGTCTCACTTTCAGATGTACACACACTTGTGCATGCACACACAAATACAGTCGCTAGCCTAGACAGATTCAAGACACTGACAAGCACTAGCCACTGAATCAGAATACTAATAGAAAAAAAAAAAACAAGACTTAACAGTCACAGCACCAAAGAGTCAGTATCGTCTGTGGGATCCTTCCTAGGCAGATGTACTGTAGGCTACTCTGCCTGTCTGACTGACTGACACCCTCTCTGATTCTCCAGGCAGACAACAAACTGACGTCAATATGGTTTCTCTGTTCTGTCTCGTGGTGGGTCTGTCTGCTGTGGACGGGAACAGCAGCGTCTCTCAGCGCTGGCTGGGAACAAGCTTTTATTATCCATCTTCTACTGGTTCCCACTGTCGCTTCAATGACGCCTTCCAGTATCCTCTGCCTGCAATGTACAATTCTGAGATGCAAAGAGGTGTGTGTGTGTGCCCAACAATGAAGACACACATGAGTTCCAGCAAAGGGAATGTACACACACACACACACACACACACACACACACACACACACACACACACACACACACACACACACACACACACACACACACACACACACACACACACACACACACACACACACACACACACACACCTGTGCCTCCCACATCATGCAGAAACACAAAACTCCCATAAAAATCTGCACGCTGTACACACATGCAGTGGGGTATTTCCGTTCCTCTGTCTCACAGTGGTGGTCACCAATGTCTCGTTAAGGTGCTTACAGAGTGGTTAGGCCAGCATGTGTTGCTCTCTATGCCTCACTAGCCAGCCAGACTGCACTGATTCAGATCTGGTTACTCCTCACTGTCCACAAGGCAAACTAACATCCTACCAAACAGCTGTGCAAATACAACCGGTATGTGGGTTACAGTGAGAGAGAAGAGAGACAATAAGGTAGTCCGAAAGGCAATGATGGAATAAACAAGGGAGGAAAGGAATGATGGGAAGCGATAGACAGAAAGGACAGAAATAGATGGAAAGATGAAGGGATGAAGGGCAGAGAGCGGGACAAACCAACAAAGGGAACAGGAGCGAAAACAATGAGAGTGAAGAAGAGCCTGGGTGAGACAGAGGGAGATCTGTGGACACTCGGGTGATGACAGATACTGTTGTCATGTGGGTGTGGATCCTTTTATAGCACTGCCAACTAAAGCAGACAACGGAGCAAAAACCCAGGGGACAGAGAGGGGTTTATATGGCCCCATCTGTGTGTGTGTGTGTGTGTGTGTGTGTGTGTGTGTGTGTGTGTGTGTGTGTGTGTGTGTGTGTTGTGTTGTTGTGTGTGGGTGGGTGCGTGCGTGCGTGCGTGCGTGCGTGCGTGCGTGCGTGCGTGCGTGCGTGCGTGCAGTGGTAGTTTCGTTAGGGGACCGTGACAGTCCTGGCAGAGTGCCCACATGGACTGCGATCAATGACAGTGGTGCATCCATGGATGAACAAGTGAGTGAATGGCTGAATGATTTAATTCACTCATGAGTGAAGGACTAACAACACATCTGCATGTAGCGTGGATACATGGACACTTATCTGTTAATATCAAATAATTGCGAGCAAATTCACTTAAAATGCACATTTATCAACATGTTTCTCTATATGCAACTTATTCTCACTCTTGCCTCAAGCTTCAAGCTAGATAACATGGATCCAAAAGTAGGACAGGTATTGCGCGGGATCACTGGCTGTTAGTGGTCCCATTATACGACCAAACGCCTACAGCAGCAAAAAGGAACAGGCAATTTAATTTTGCGCGTTGACATTCCTGTCCAAACAAAACTCTTTGTGAGTGCAGACAAAAAAAGAAAAGTTTGCATGTCAGTAGAAAGTAGGGTTTTGTTTCTCATGAAGAGTAGCGAAGGGGATCAACAAAAAAAAAGGCTGCAGGAAAAAACAGTATCTCAATCAAACACAAGTTTTCTCTGTGAAGAGCTTCCAGCCGAGAGAAATGGGGCTCATGCGTCACAGGTTCAATTCCACCTTACAGGTGACAGGCCTGCCTGATGGTATATACCCTTGGCTCCCCCGCTCACCTTACCTGACACACACACACACACACACACACACACACACACACACACACACACACAGAGAGACAGACAGACAGACAGACGCACACACAGTCGCCAAACCGATGCAGAAAACAAGAGCTAGTTAAAGTCAAAAACAGAAGAATAGGCAGAGGAGGCGAGGAGAAAGTGGGACGTTAGCAAAATAAAAGAAACCGGAATTGGGTGAAAGTAAAAAGTGTGGTAATGCGGTGAGCACATAAGCAATTTGGTAGCGCGAGTGGGGAGCTTAAAGGGAACATCGACAAGAGAAGCAGTGGGTAAAGACCCAGCGCTGCTCAAAGGCTGCTCCACCCTCGCTCCTCTCCTCTCCTCTCCCAAATGTTGACAGTACAAGTGCAAAACAGGCTTTGAAGTGTGCTCTGCTGAAGGGGCGCCGTGTACCATGCATCGTGCTTCGTTTAACTGTGTTACCCACAAAGCATCCCGGGACCTGCTCCTCTCCCTGCCTCTCATTCTCTCTCTCTCTCTCTCTCCCTTTCACATTGAACCTTTGACAGTGTTGTGATGATGCCAGTGTGGGCAGACAGACAAGGCGAAACCAAGGTTGGTGACAGTGAGCAAAAAAAGAAAAGAAAAGGCAAATAGGCGAGTAAATGAATGAAGTCAAGAAAGGCAAGGGAGCAACATTTTAATGATACTATGTTATTCTGTTTTTCAGTCCTTTCCGGAGAGCACAAAACTCAGCAGGTTTCATCTCATGTGACGCCTAATGGAGCATAAGGGTTATTAAATGTTTCCAGGGAAACACTACTGTGTATAGTTCACACATCTGCAGATCGGAGGATTCAGCACTCACGTCTAGTGCTGGGAAAGAAAAGGCATGTCAAGGTGACATAAACCAGTGAGCAAAATTTTTTTACAAAGTAAGGAAAGTTTCGCCTATTAGCTGCTGTGGCAAGACACATACTGAATAGTGACTAATTGGCCACTGAAATGTTTAAATTTGCCACAAAAGTGGAGAAGGACAAAGCAAAGGAGAGAGAGACCTCTGGTAGATGTAAGTGATGGCATCTGGCAACGTTTCAACCTTTAACTATCCTGCCTTTGACCCCTGTATGTCCAATGAGGTTTCATCCCCAACATAAATGTTGTCTAAAAATATTAACCCAACTCCCCTCTGCTCATTAGGCGCTAAATTGGAATTCATGCTTATTTTTGTACTGGGGGTTTGATCCGGCTCCTTTACACCGATCATAAAGGGCCACTTGGCATGCTAATTGCCTTGGTCCTACTTATACACTCCCTAGCTCACATAGCTAATGGTGTCGTAAAACATACTAGTGCACTGACACCTCCCAAACGCCAGGTAGGGAATACTTAACACTATAAAGGTGCTCAGTTTGGCCTCGTTTAAGAGGACATGAAGGATTCCCTGATAATGACCATAACGATAGCTTGAGCTGGTAAAAGATCCAAACCAGATACAAGAAACTGTTACCCAGAGAGGGAGAGTGATTCTTGTACACACACATGCACTAAATACCAGTGCCAGTCTTTAACACCGCTGCTTACAGAGGGACATAATGATTTAAGTAAACTGTTCAGGTGGTAAAAAGGTAACTCGTGGGGTTGGGCTTCCATGCACCACTAAGGATTTCGTTTTTAAAGGGTGTTTGACAGTGCTGTTAGGGGCCCAGTGTCATTGATTTAAAGAGCTAGGTTTGCAAGACTAAAGTACCTTTTTTTAACTGTACAACTGATGTAAAGTGAGTGTTGCTGCTGCTAAATGCAAAGTTGCTTTTATGTACTACTGTACACTATAAAGATAAATGAAAGAGGAGTCTAAAAGTCCAAAAAGCTGTTCCATAGTTGCTGGAATGCTGTACTGCTACATAAGTTATGATGGACGGTGGCCCAGTGTGGATGCCCTTTGTATATAAAGTCATTAGAACCTCATCAGTTCTGGCTGCACTGAAGCACCTCCAAATGATGCGGAACAGTATACTGAAACACCCCCAACCCACCTCACATGCACTACTGCTGGGAGAGCATGTGTGTGTGTGATTATGTATGTGTGTTAGGTCACACCGGGGCCCTGAAATAGCACTTCATTAGTCATCCAGGGTATCAGGCATAGTGGGCCCTTGCACCAATGCCAGTGGGTGTCGTGGACACGTGCCTGTGAGGGGACGCTCCATTTGGACCCCAGCAACTCTGTGCATCATCCCAGAGCCTAAAGGGCTTAATCCCCACAGACGGCTTTGACCCAGTAAGGCGGGGGCAGGCAATGAGGTGAACCCACCACCGCAGGCAGCAGCGGGACGCACCGCAGAGCAGAACGTTCTGGTCTGTTTTTAGCCAACAACTGCAGTGCAGGGTGTCTTCGCAGAAAATTAACCTTTGGATGCAGTGATGAAGAGATCAGCGCAGGTCTCAGTTCTTTCTCAGCTGACTAAGCAGCAAATCAAAATTTTAATGACTTTATTTTATTAATACAAACAAGAGCACCCTACCCTAAATAATCAAACTAATCGTCTCCACCGATCAATCAACTCTTACTTGTACTTTCTGTCCTCATTCCTCCTCCTGTTTCTCTATTTCCATCCTCATTTTCCTCCCCTGAAATCTATTCTTACCCCTCTCCCTTGGTCTTTCACCCTCATTACTCGGAAAGCTTCCAAACTGTCAGTGAAACCTGGCAACAATTACCATTCCCACAGCTGCAGCAATAACCGTTACAGTAGCACTTACAGTATTACTTATACAGTAGGCACAACTCCAGCAGCACGGGCACCAGACCAGAGCACCATGTCTGCCCCACCTTCCCTAGCCAGCAGGCCCTCATTAGGGGCCTTGTAAAGGCCTCATACCTGCAGGGGCTGGGCCCCTTCACCGCTCAGTTCCTCTAGGCTCCAGGTGTGTAAGGTGGCTGCACTTCACCAGAGGGGACAGCTTGGTCTCATTTAAGCCGATGGCTACCTGCCTGATGCCTACTGCTACAGCAGGCCCCAGTAAACTAAGAAACTGTAAAACTGCACGGGGGCCGAAAGGGGGAGAACAGGGGTGTGTAGGGGAGCAAGGATTATGACCCTGTAAAGATGAAAGAAGTTGTGGGCAACAAGCGATCAAAGAGGAAGTGTGTCAGCGCTGATGTGGCAGGGGATTGGTCGTATCAGAGGCCCCGGGTCGTTCAGCCTCAACCTGCATGTGTGTTTATCTGTGCGCTCATGTGCATGTGTATTGAACTCAGCACAGCAGGGCTTAACGGCCACAGCGGACACCATCGGAGCTGGATAACACAACGACTTTCACAAGCTGCCGCTTAATTGCAGTTTAAACTGCACTTTGTCCTGAGCAGCACAGCACGTTACAGTTAACATACACACACACATACACATTTACACACCATTTTTTACCTAACGAAGCATCTGTAGTCTTCAGTCACAAAGTTAATCTGATCTCACGGTTAATGTAGAAGCAAAACCGCATGGGGCTGGTTAACTGTTGGTTTACACTCGGTTCCAATTACTAGCATAGCTGGGAAACAACAGCTAACTGTAATTGTGTGTGAGTGTATGTGTATGGAGTCAATCAACCTAGTTATATGCTGGGCACTAAACTCACTTAACCTCGTTATCTTATTACACAGCTCCAGCTATGTATGTGGAAATTGAATTAGACTAGGAAGCTATTAATAGGAAAACACAGAAACGACTTTGAAACAGTTAGATTAGATGTCTGCATGGCTAAAACAATGGATAGTCAGTTCACATGAAAAGTACAACAGTGAGGAGCCAACAGAGGAAGAAAAAGAAAGAAAACAGACCGAGGAGATCATAAAAGGAGCCCTAACTCATGCCCATGTCTGGAACTGACAGATGTGTTGTCAAAAAGATATAAAAGATGAGACAAAGATAAAAGAGGAAAGTTCACCCACCACTTGTACATCTGAGGGCACTCTGGACAGAAAGTCTAGCAGCTCGTTGTTATCAATGGTGTAAGGGTCTCGCAGCTTCTTGGTGAATTTATTCACCCCTGTAGAGAGAAAAACGGGGGCAGGTACGGAAGAGTTGGGAAAGAGAGGTGGACATAAGTACACAAGTTGTTAAAGCCTTTATGTTGTACTATGAAAATGTACTTAGAATATAACACAAATGACTGCCTGTGCTTCCCCCCCAATACAATACATAAAAAGAAGCATGTAACACTGCCACATGCTTACTTTGATTCTGTATTTACATTTAACTATATCTTTTAAACTTAATAACCTACACTTACAGTACATGTATATAAACAATGCACATTTTTGACATTAGCTCACCCCAGGCTAGCACAATGTATCTTAGAGGGATGAAGTATATGATGGTGGTGGCCACTCCAAGAGCCACAATGGCCAGCCAGCTTAAGAAAGGCACAGTCCAGTTAAATGTGCTGCAAAGAGAGGACAAAAAGGGACTGTAAAAATCAGGAGCAAAACTCAGTCCAGCCAAACATGATGAGAAAGAGTAGAGAGTCAGAAAGGGCATTTTAATACTTTTCAACCCAAACAAGCTGATCCGGATGACCCTGCACTACAGATTCATCACACTCAGTGGAACTGTGCAGAAGGAAATAACTTCACCCAAAGTGTCTCACAGGTCAGCAATGCAGGGTGAAAATGGGCTGAGACTCAATACAATTCACACTATATTATCAGTAAAATGCTCTCAACCCTACAGAAACACGGGTCAAAGATGTTTCAGTTTGATTTAAAATGTTTTTACCTGTAACTGAAGAAGGAACCTGCTTGGCTCTTTTTTTTCCCCTACAGCTTTTAATAAAAACAAAATTCCTTCCTTCCCGTTGCTTTGTATCTATGCAGGAGTGCATAGTAAATAAGTGTTTTGTTTTGTGCATGTGCAGTATTATGTGTTTAATCTAGTCTGTAGATGATTCAGTTAAGAGGTCATGCAGGGTTAAGTGAGATGTGATGGACATAAAGACAGACAGCGCCTGTGTTTGTCTCTCAGGGTTGGGTGTCACGCTGGCCGTGTTTCCTGAGAGCAGCACAGAGTTTTATTCAGTTAGGCTGACAAGTGGAAACAGGGCAACCTGGCATTGCAGGAAAAAACAACAACACAGGGACGTGCAGAGCGGAGCGGGCCGGGTGCCGAGGAGCGGGCTTACGACTCACTTCTTTATCCTCTCGCCATAGGAGGCCACTTCATCCAGTGCATTCTGCACGCTGATGCACACGTCCTGAATGGCATAAAGCTTGTTCATGAAGCCCTTTCTCTCCGAGTCCTGCAAGAGGACAGATAGAGATGTAGGCAAGGGAGAAAGAAAGCGAGGGAGAGGGAGGAAGAGATGGAGAGAGACAGTGAAGAGAAGGGAGGAGAGAGAAAGAGGAGAGAGAAGACAGAGGCTGGGCACAGGCATCTTTGTGAAAACAATACATTTTAAATAGCGTCAAAGATTTGGAGTGGGGAGCCAAATCACCGGATATCCTGAATGAACTGACGGAGTGCTTTCATTCCAGGCCGTAATAGAGATATAAAGTCGGCAGAACAAATCAAAATGTTTTCCTCCTTACAAAAGCTCACACAGGAAAATTTGAATATGTGAATAGAGAGACAGAATTAAACTGAAAGCCAAATGGATACATCAATCTTTGGGTGCTCTTTTTCTCTCTTTCTCTCTCTCTGCTGCTGCCAAGACAGCTAGGAAGACCGGGCAGAGCCCTCTTTTGTTCTGCTGGCTGGCACACTGTGATGATGTCACCAGCCGTGACATCATTATCATCCTTATTAACGCCGTCACCCACCATGAAGAGCTCTTCCTTTTCAACTTTTGATGGTTGAGAACTTGAGAGTATTGCGAGGAGTTGGGGAAGAAACCACAAACTAGGCAGGCAATGTAAAATCCACAATCCCCCTCTCTTACTGAAACAAAGTGAAGAATTGAAGAAGTCATGCAACAGTCAACGAGCTGCCTGCTGACTGACTGACAGGCAGGGACAGGATGGATCTGGACAGAATGAGGTGACAGAGAGTGATCGAGAGCCGTTGGCTGAGTGAGGACATCAACACGCAGACTGGTTGCGGCTGGATGTGATTGGTGGGCATGCTTGTGAGACAAAAAAGGGGGCATAACAAGAAGAGGAGGACTATCTGTTATCAGAAGGAAGTTACAAGAGTGTCCGTGGTTCTGTCATGGGTGGCCAGTTTACAATATGGCAACAGCAGGGAAATTTGAGCAAACTGGCGGAAGAGAAGACTTTCATCGTGAGATCATCTGGTTCGAGTACATTATCATGCCAACACACAGAACTATATATTGCTCGCTCATATAGAGACAATAATTTTTGTTTGGATGAATTGATGTGCTCTTTTCCCCTGCAGTTGAGAGTATTAGTTAAATAACTGAACACTTGCGAATATAAAGAATGAATTAAACATGCCAGAAAACCTCATTGCTCAGATAAGAAAGAATCTGGATTTCATAAAGCAGAGAAAAACAAGGATATTACACAGCTGTTTGAAGAACTTAAGTTAATTAACTGCAAAATGAACCTTAACTAGACATGGCCAGCAAATATATCTCTTCTGGTAAAGAAGCAGCATGTATAGCAATGGCTGTGTTAATGATGAAGATGGATGGCCATTGTTAGATTAGAGAATTAATCCTTATCATTATACCCAAAAAAGACAGTGAAGCAGTCAAAGACATGAAACCTCCAGGACCCCAGAGGCCTTTCATACATTTCGCTCCTTGAGGCCAGCCCCCCACCTCACCACAACCCTCCCATTGAGACCCCCCCCTGCACCTCCCCCAACCCCCGCAATGCGCCCTCTTCTTTTTACTCTCCATCCAGGATCAGATAATGTGAAAAATGAACCATGGAGCAGTCAGGGAGACCACATGGCCTCCCCAGAAAAACCACACAAGACAAATAGATATAATTAGACAGCGTCCCTGGGTTATTTTTCTTCGCAAATATTTTACAAGACTCCCTTTCTTTCTTCCTCTCTCTCTCCTCCTCTTCTCAGTCCTTTCCTCAGAGTCCATCTGTTTTTCATTGCTCGCTCAAACAAATCTCAGAACGCAGGGTCTATTGTGCTGGGCTGGGTTAGGACGAGCCGGGCTGGGCCGGGTCAGGCCGTTTTATTTTCGGGCTCAGACTCAAGGGAGAGTGTTTGAGGGCCAGGGGAGTGGTGTGAGAGAGCGGGCGGGGGTGGAAAGGATAGGTCAGAGGTCATCGGAGTATAAACCATTGCCACATGCCCCTCGGACTGCGGTCTGACTCGTATTTCCTGTCTTCAAACACGACTCGAGGAGGCGGGAGGTAGCAATAACACAGAGGGCCACGGAGAACCTTGTTTTCCCAGCTTCCCTGCACACTGCGCACATATGGAGCCAGGCAACCTGTTCTTATAATGGAACCTAATATGCACACAAACACACACGCACACACACACCCTAGAGCTATTAGATAAGGTTGATCTGCACACCTGGTCTTGCTGTGTGACTCTACAAACGACATTATATCCCAACACAGATTAGACGATGAGGGCCCTTGACTTCTAAAAGCAGTTTCTTTCTCTTCTGAGCAAGCTTGTTTCAGACTGCAATGTCATCACTGATAGAGAGGGAACTAGTGAGGAAGGAGACATGGCATTTGCACTTCACAGTCAAGGTTAAAGGAAGCTTTCTGTTGACTTGAATATTTGACAAAATGGTGAAATATTTGAATCAGAAGGTGAGCTTTCCAAGACACATTCACACATCCTCAAGAGTTAATCCACCAGTAACTAAATAAATTAAATCATGGACTCATAGTGTCAACCACAAGCTCACATGTGATATGTGATGAGAACATGGTTTTCCAGTCCTGACCAGCTTCTAGTCTCACTTAAGAGGAGGAGCAGGATCTTTACAGGAGACTCAGGGCCAGTATTTCCATCTGTCTCTTCCTGTGTCTGTCAAGGAGACTAAGTGGGTTTGTTTGGAGACCTGAAGGCAAGGCTAATAAAATGAAATCTGTGAGGCCTCTCTCTTTGACTTGGCTACAGTTGCAAGTCATGTTAATGCTCAAAGTATGCTACAAATCCCTGCACCTCTGTCAACAGTGTTCTGAAAGATGATGCTGCATGGCTTGAATCATCCAGACAAATAGTGTAATAAGCCTGCCTAATGAGTTTAGCATCGTGCAGTTTAATAGACTGCAACTGTAGGTTAATCTTCAATGTGTTACGCTGACATGTTACAGTAACTGCCAGTTCAGTCTGTGTATTACAAATTGTCATTACAGACGGATGACAGAACATTAAGTCTTGACGATTTCATCTACTATAATACAAGCCTGAATATATGTAAATATTATATGTACACTTTTCTGTCAGGTACACATGTGTCTGTATATGAAGTACAGTGAAGTACATATACCACTATGTGCAATGTCAGTAATTGAAATAAATCCTAAAGATATATATTTCTGCCACAAATATATTTACTCCATACAAATTATGCAAAATGATTGCATATACAGTGAGAGCAGTAATATTAAATGAAAACTAAATATATGCAAGAATATCAAAACACAGAATATAAATTAGCATCCCCAGTTGTGGGTTGACAGAATATATAAGAGGAGAGAATACATACTGTTTTAATTAATTCTTTGAATGCCCATGACCATCAGTACTCAGTACTAATATAAACACAAAGGAATCTTGAGGCCTTTACACAATTTCTCTGTCATTATTATTCATTCTCTTTGTCCTTTCCTGTGTGGTGTAGTTTATGTATAGCAAAGGGTCAGGGCTACTCAAGAGTGTGAAATGAATTCAGGGTAAAGTCAAAAGAACTGGATACTACTGTGTATTAAATGAAAAACTGCATTGAGACAATCTATTTATCCCGTGAATGAAATATTTCTATGTGCAGAAGAAACTCTTTGACATCAATTAACTCTCATCAGGTTGGTAGCAGAAATATTTTGTGAGTCTTTGTTGGCAGAGAGTTGTTTTAATTGCATGTATGCCGTTTAAAGACAATAAATGCATCTTTTGTGGTTATGTCCAAAGTTTGCATCATTTTTTGGATGTGTGGAGTGTGATATGAAATATCAGCCGAGCACCCATCAGTTCAGCATTGAGCCACCCTATGTGCAAGTGTGTGGAGCAGGCTGCATCATGGGAGTGCTCCCATCAGGGAAGACAGAGGCGGGAAGGCTCGTTAAAGTGATGTGAGCTGTTTGCATGCGTTAAGGAGAAACAACCCTCAGTGACACCAGAGAGAGCCCAGGGACACACACTCTCTCACACACACACACATAGAAACAGCCACGTTAGGCTAACCACATTGTACTTGCTGGTAAATTGTGGTAAACAAATGTGGTAAACTCCTTGAAACACTTGATCAAATATTTAACAAAGGAAAGATGCACAATGCCTCTGTGTACTCGACTGCTCCATTTCTCTTTCAGAGAGATAGCATCATGGCAAAGTACATCTAAATGCAAAAGTGCAACGTGAGCAGTTGTAAACTTTGCAAAGACAGTTTGTTCTTCACTGACCCAAGGCCTAGAGCTAAACAAGAGAGAGGTCACTGAGGACTTAGCCTATTACGATGGACTCAAATATCTGTCCTATATCTACTGGGTGGAAATAGAGAGAGCCATTTGAGACTGTTTTAACCTCCGATCACATTGTTCTCCCTGCTGGGTTACGCCATAAAAATGATAAACCTAACCGTTATAATGTAGCAGCATATATCCCATCACACCACAAAATGAGTCTGAACCACAAGTGGCTGCTGCTCATTGCTGCTGTGCTAAAATTGCACCTGTTTTTCTTTGTTTTCTTTTTGCCTCCCTCACTCTGGCAGCACAGTAAAAATTGAAATGTCATATAAAACGTGACAGGATGCTAATATGTGGCTCCCAGAGGGCATCTGAAAGCGTTCTTGTTGATTTTGTAACTGCAGAGGGAGTCGGCATCCCTGCCATTTCCACCCCAGGAAAAGGGGGGAAAAAAACATTGAAAAGTTAAGCAAGTTGAGGAATGCTTTAGGGGCGACACAAATTCAATTTCCAAAGCCTGTGCAAGAATTAGCGCATACAATTAGCATCCAGTGTATACTTACAACTTGACGTGTTGCTATCTCTCTGAAAAAATAATATGGATGGAAGAAAATTGTGATTTCGTACCAATAACCATGATATTTGGCTGTGCAGAATTTTTGACTTACTTTATTTAAGAATAATTTAGGGATCAATTAAAGGTAAATAAAAGCTTTTATTAGTTTTTTTGCATTCACTGGTGGCATTCCACTGAGTCTAGTATTATTTTGTTCTACACAAGTAACAATTCAGAGTCAAAACAGTGAAAATATTCAGGATGAAGCAAGAACTTGCACAGTATGTCCATTGCAAAATGCTCCAAAAAGTCTATATTACTTAATTTAGGATCAAAAGGGATAGTTCATAATTTGCATTACTGTATTTTTGTTAACCAGCACAATGAACAACATTTTCATGTTTTCATGTAAGTAACTGCTTTGTAAACTAGTCAAGTTATACATTTTTTATGTTTTACTTGTTCAATGGGAAACTTTTGTTCAGGCATAGTCATTTAATAATTTCTTATGGCAGAATGTTTTGACAGCAATCAAATGCAGCATGGAGTATTTTTTCTGTTCTCCTAAAACAGAGGCACATAATGTGAGCCAGTAGCTGCCCCTAAAATTAAAACTAATATGTTTCATCGGTGTCTATTCCAAGTATTACCAGCTCCACTGGGGAGTGATGAGTCACAGATTTTACCCACTGGGAGTTAAGAGAGGCCCCTTAGGAAAAAAAACTAAAACTTGGGAACCCAGTGGCCTAGAAGAACATCTCCCCTCTGTCAGGAAATGACAACAAGACGATACAAAGGCCCTGTGACCGGTCTCAGATACCACCATGCAACCTGGCACCTCGCCAGCGCCACATGAAAGAAGCAGATGTTCCTTCATTTTTTTTTTTTGAGGCTGCGGTTTTAATAAATAATTTATCCCATACAACAACTAATCCATGAGCGAATGTGGGGAATACATCTCTATTTCCCTCCCTCTCTTTTTATCATAAACACATAAATATCTGTTTAACTAGGGTGTTGAGATGCGCTGCACGTCTTCCCAGCCCTCATCAAGCAGCTCGCACACACAAAGGCCACGTTAAGATGTGAAGGGGCGTCCCCACTCCCATAGGCCCAAATGGATGAATGTCAGGAGAGTGTGTATATGTGTATGTCTGTGTGTACAGGATATACACACAATTTTCTTTGAGAATATCTGTTTGTGCCGAGGGTTGCGCCCACAAAACCAAAGTCAAACTCCAGTTAAGACTGTCAGCTGAAGGTGGACCAGGCAGACACAATGCTCTCTAGTACTAATTAGTCTCTTCACCCAGCCTAGTCCCATAGCGAAGATAAATATACACGTATGTAAAAGAGAGGGATAGAGGGAAAGAGAGAAAGAGGGAATAAAATGAAGAGTTGGTGACTTATTTTCAGTTTGACCTCTGCTTCCTATCCTAAAGAGAAAGGTTTCTGGTGTTATGAGTGTGCGTGTCTCTAATGTGTCTGGGTGGCAGGAGGTTGTTCGCCACTGATCATCTTTACCCATCTCCCCTTGGGGCCCCTCATCACCTCCACCACACCAGCCACTCCATCAGACTCAAGGTCGGGCACACACAGACACACACATAAATGACTACCACCCCACAATTTCTGCGCTTGATCACTTTCCCTTCCTCGCCTCCTGCTGAACGCCACCCGACCCCCGCCCACCCTGCAACCCCAGCCTGCCCAATTCTCCCCCACTTTGCCTCACCTCTGCTCCCCTGCTCCTGCGCTCTCCTTCCCCTGTCCTTCCCAGGATCCAGCCTGGCAGTGTGTGATGAATGGGACAACATTACTCTTGTCCTCTGTTGGCCTGGTTTAACTGCTCCAGCCCATCTCCCCCCATCTGTCTGTCTGTCAGTCTGTCTGTCTATCTGTGTGTCTGTCTCAGTCTCTCGGCCTGGTTTGGCTTAAAACATATGTGACTGCACAATCTAAACTCTGGAAACACTGGATTGATTTGTTTTGACCATACCCCAAGATGAGGGTACAAAGGGCTCTTTTATCTTTACATAAGATATAGGTAATTAGGTTAGAAAAGATATGTATTTTTCAGACCCATACTGTAGGCTTTTTTGATTCCGTAAGGAGTCTATTATATTTTACTAATTAAGATTTTTTTCATTCATTAAATCATATCTTACCCTCGTTTAATTACATCTGATTCATCACCTAGGTTTGTAAAATTCTTGCTAACTTTGGCTTACCTTTAATTACATATTCATTTTCAGAGAGACACAGGCAACAGAAACAGCTGTAACAGCCACTGTTTTAAACTTTGTTTTGGAAGGGAAAAAAATGACAGAGCGCGAGTGCATCGCTATGAAGTGAAGGGATCACGTCTTCAAAAAAGTAAATAAAATATGCATCCTCTCTGTGCTCATTACAGATTTATGACTCTTGTTAAAAGAAAAGGTGGCGGCTGCCTTCTAACATGTCTGACTTTCAAATTCAGACGACACTGCTGTCAAGTGTTGTGCTCCACATTCTGTCCAATGAGAGACCGGGAGGGTTGAGTGTGTACCATCTTCAGCATCCTATGTGGTGAGAGTCTCGAAGAGAGTTACTTTGGGTGGATGAGAAGAAGAACTCCTCACCTACAGTGCAACGAGTGCACATCGTAATCCTTTGATGCATAGCTCATCAGTCAAAAAGTTCAGTTGGTTCAGCCGCTTGTGTGTATGTGATTCAGAACAATAACAGTTGGGGGAGTAGACATTTCTGCATTAGGCATAATGAGCATTGGGATTTGCTCCAGCAATATGAAATAGTTTTGCTGTCTCTGTAGCAACTTTTAAGAAAAAGTGCTCACAAGCGCATTCAAATCACCCCACCACCCACAACTGCACACACATGCACATACATATACACACGCTAGGATCTGAAACTCATTAGAAAATTAGTTTGTTAGGTGCTTATTATCAGTGACTGGGGGGTCATAAGGTGTGAAAACAATCATTATTTGTGAGAGGAATGTAATTAGTGCTTTTAAAAAAAAAAGAAATCGGAATCTGAAAATTCTATTTTTGGCAAAAAAATAAAATAAATAATACACTAAAGCACACTATAGGGGATTTTATTCCCTCGTGGCCCCTCTCGCTGCAGAGATTATACCCAAAACAGGTACGATTACACTCGAGTCACTCCCAATGTCACCCTTTAGTACCTCAGAGCCAAAAGTCCCACCAGCTAAACATAGTTAACACACCGTTGCACTTCAGTCTACACCTGGCACCTCGCAGTATGACAGGTCTACATTGCTATAGGGAAGTCAAACAAAAAGAAGGGAGCAGCCTTCCATGCTGGAACCCCATTAACTCCCCCATCACCTTAAAGAGCAGGCAGAGGCGGAGGCCTCGAGGCGGGGGTTGGGTTGTGGGCTGAACGTGCAGTGTGTGGGTGCTGATTGAGACGCGGACAGGGGACAGGTACTGTACACAAACCCCGACAAGATGGCAGACAGAGGCCGCCGGACAGACGATGAGCTAAATAGGAAACCAGAAGACAGTGACACACACCATCAGAAGTCAGTGCCAGAGCCACACACATGCCCACTTACCACCATCGCTCGTATCCACTCAAAGTGCCAGGAAGCCAACATATCCTCGAGGATATGGTTTTTATCACTTCTGTCCTCCCAGGGGCCTGGTTTAGGGTCCTTGTGGATAGATTACAATGAGATTTTCTCCTTACAACCCAGAGAAATTAAGGTGAAAGTATTAAAGAAAACATGTGGATGTTTTACAACTGGGGTCTTATACTTGGCCAATATAACTAGGCTTTAGCCTGTAGGTAAGAATAACATTGTTCTCACCAAATGTGCTACAGATAGTAAACATAAGCACTGCACTGGAAACAGCTTTAGCCTTGCAATGCCATTATTGATTTTGTTTTTCAGTACTCACCTTTGTTTAGATGTGTCATAGTTGGGTTAAAACTGGTCTGATTTGAGACCCACAGTCAAAAAAAACCCCCAAAAATCAACAATATTTATTTTAAATACCAAAGTAAAAGTGTTAAGAGAATGGCAGTCAGAGAATGAAGGAGAGATGAGAGAAAGCAACAGACAAAGCAAGAGATACGTATCTGGAGGGAATAGAGATAGTGAAACATGATCCACCTGATGTATGTGTGTGACAAAGAGGAAAAACAAACAAACAATGCAGTGTATTTTGCATAGAGAGACAATACCCCTCCATGCCTCTTTCACCCTCCTTTTTGTTTTCATTCCTCCCTCTATTAGCAAAACATGATTAAAATGCAGTTCCTACCAGCGTCTCTGCTGAACAACGAAAAAAAGATAGTGAGATGGGAAGAAAAATGAAGCGGAAAAGTCAAAAGCATCTTTTACGGCATGACGCTTTTCATCCTTCACAGGCGGCGAGAAGAAAAGAACACAGACATTCAAACTTTTTTCTCTCCCTCCCTCCCTCTGTCTCTCTCTTCCATTCTCCTCAGCAGCCAAAAACCCCCTTGATACCTGAGGACAACCCCACTGCATCACAAGCTCAATAGCCTCCCTACAACAACATTTCAGTCACACTTTTTTTTTTTTTCAGAGCATTGATATAATTCCCAGTGCTCCCTTTAGTCCAATTACATTATGCCATGTCGCTATCTGAGTGATCAGTGCAGTGCCGTGACTGGGACTGAGAGAGGAGTGCCGGGGCTTGGGAAGGTGCTGCAGAGCTCCATATGCTATCAGGAGATAAGTGAGAAAACTTGCACTGTTTTTATCCACATTCACACTAAGACAAAGTGTGTGCCTTATTTAACATTATATGGAGCAGAGAGCCTTGGCACTTGTTTAATGATACACAGAAGAAGAGACAGTAGCTGAGATGGGGAGAGAAAGACAAGAAACAGAGAAACAGAGAGATACTGTATGTAAAATCACTAGCTGGAAAAGGCTGTGAGACCTGCAGGATGAGACCTGGATATGTGTGCTGATACTAGCCATTCGCCAGGAGTTATATACTTAACTGCTTAACTCACACGTGCACGATTTTGTGTGTGTGGGTACACGTATGTGCATGAGTCATGCCTACAGGGAAGGCAGCAGAGGGTGGAATGGCTGTCTCAGCACTATTGATGAGAAGGATAAAGAGATACTGTGGTGTAGGAAGGCGGCTATGTGGCAGGAGAGATGAAGAAACAGAGGATCATGTATGCTCAGTCTTATATACACAGTGGACTCATCAATAAGGCCCCCATCAGAAAAAAATACAGTATAGCGCTCATAAAACGAATGAAACCACACATGCATTCCAACTTGATGTAACCTTTTGGGACCACTGATGCAAATGTGCATCGGTGCAAATTACCACATCAAAGCTATTCACTGTGCGTCATGCAAGCTGTACATCAATCATACAGTCCAAAATCTTTCAAATTGTATTTTAACCTCATGACGCAGATTAGTATTTGACCCCAGTCTTGGAATAAAACAGATTTCACTGCTGGTTTATATGGAATGCCTTAGGGAACTGGTCCATAAATACGACTAAAAATGGCTTTTCATTTCAGTGTAATTCAAATTTTACAGATCAATGTGTTCAAGCTAATGAATAAAGTCCACTCTATATTTACCATCACCTTTGCACATGAGGGAGGGAAGGAGAAAATGAGCAAAAAACAGTAGAGGAACTTTTTTTTTTTTTGAAGGCGTGTGTGTGTGTGTGTGTGTGTATGTGTGTGAGCGAGATACAGATAGATAGACATAAAGTGAGAAAGAGAGAGGGAGTGCACCGAGCAGTAAGCCTGTGAGCAGGACATGATTGCAGTGTGTATCTTATCTGTGTCAGGTCCTCCTGAGGCTAGTGGAGCCTAGCTGAGCGGAGCACGAGCGCTTCAGTGACCAGTCAACCGTGTGAGGGTAATCTCCTCACTCCTTCAGTCTGTCTCTCTCTCACTCTCTCTCTCCCTTTTTCCAGCAAGCCCCCCCTCTGGGAGGTAGCTGAGCCACTGCGCACACACAACCGAGATGCTCACACAAATACACAAACACATTTACGCGTGCAAACACTCATACCCATGCAGAGCCTAAAGGTGATTGCCTCATGCCAGCTCTGGACAGAGAGCCCACAGGTGAGAGAAGACATCATAGGCTACATTGCACACTGAAGCACCTGCAGCCAGTAGCCTGTAAATAAAGGAATGAGTAGCATGTTGCTGCTATCTCACACTGTCGAAGTCTCTATGTTACTTCAAGCTGTACCGAAAAGGTCCATAAAAGGAACAAGTTTTTTTTTCTTAAATAAGTAAGAAAGAAACATGCAATTGCTTTGTCTTTGGATGGTTCAGGTGACAAGAAGTCATGGATACTTGGATGTGAATACTTGTCCATGTCATTTAAAAGATTTTTTTTTCAAGGCTGATATTGAGATGTCATAGCAGAAAGTCTAATAATATTGATGACTGCTGCTATTCACTTTTCACCAGACCAGTGACATGGCCTACTGGGCCACTTTGATTGAAGGGAGCCACTGTTAATGTTATTGATTACACCAGTGATTTACCTGCTATGTCAAGTCAAAATCTTTCTTATAATAACGGTCTATTAGATTCTGAGTGAAAGCCCCTTTTCCAAAAAACAAATTAAATAATTTCCCAAGCCAACTACATCACTGATAATATTCCAGCAAAATATTTTTTATAACACCTTCAAAAATAAAGAGAACATTTCTATGATTTCAACTGAGTCTGACTTAATTATTTAGATATATAACATATGATTTTTTTAAATTTATTTTCACCATCATTATGTTTAAAAATGTTGCAAGCATCTGAATGAAAAAAGTTCTGCATAAAGCCATGGTGGTTCTTTCTGACTATTTAAAACTATAAAAACCTTATTTATGATAGCAATGTCTTAATTGTACCATGATGACATCCTTTCATGTGGATTTCTAAGCACAGAATTTCAATAACTTTGTGTCTTGCATCTATGTATTGGATCACTAATATATTTTGAAGGAGAAAAAGGTGCATCTGCAACTAGCCCCGATGTTCAAAATTAATTTTATTTGAAAATAGAGGTTAAAAACTGGGGCAGTATACTGCTCACATTTTGTGTGTGTGTGTGTGTGTGTGTGTGTGTGTGTGTGTGTGTGTGTGTGTGTGTGTGTGTGTGTGTGTGTGTGCAATAAGAGTCAAGAAACATTCCATGTTGAAGGTCAGCACGGCGCATACACACAAACACAGTGAGGAGGAGGAGGAGAAGAAGAAAAAAAATTAGTCTAACATTCTTTCACCCTTCATAAGCCTGCCTGCTTGGCTTTAACAACTGAGCCGTCCCCATCAATTAGTCTAGATGCTGGACTTTCATTGAGATTAAGTGACTAATATCAGTGCTTGCTTGCAAGAAAGACACTTTTCACGTCTGCCCAACAATCTGTTAAGTCAAAACACATGTGGTGATCCAAGGCAAAAAGCCTGCAAGGGGTCCTCTATGCAATGAAAAACAGGTGCTCTACTTTTTGGCCATGTAATACCCCATTTAGCCTCTGGAGCAAAGGTTATCCAGCTAATAGCTGCCTTGTGGTGCACTGGGAAGAGCCGTGCACATGGCCGGAGTAAACATCTGGGACGGATTGTACATACTTGCAACATATGCTTCAAGTTCAATTAAAATGAGGCCTTGGCATATTTATTAATCTTTTTTCCCTCTCCTCTCGCTCTGTTGCTCTCTCTCTCTTTCCTCTCTCCCCTATAGGCCTGTGCCATAAAAGAGGCCTCCTTTGACCCGTCCTTCATACTTACTCATACAATCTGAAGCTGTACCTCATATCCAATGTAAAAGACCTCATATCCAATGTAAAAGACAAATTTGTTAAGCCTTGAAACTCCATTTGTTCTGCACTTAACCAGGTTGGAGAGAGAGCAAAGGGAAGAGAGAGAGTATGTGTCTGAATGAAAAAAAAGGCAGGGAAGGGGACGATTGAGGGAAGGGTAGAAGGAGAGTGGGAGGGGAGACATGTAGGCGAAGAAAAAAGAAAAATGCCCCTTTTCAACTTCCCTACAGCTCAAATGAAATGCTAACAGTTGAGGGGAGCAATAGATCAAAATGTATGAAGCCAGAGTTGGTAAATTGTAGCCTTTGTGGCGGCTGTGCTATCCAGCATCCCAGCCCTGTGTGAGCACAGAGAGCAAGGCCCTCTTATGTGGAATAATCAGTTTGGCACCAAATCTGACGGAGGCCGCAGAAGCTGCTGCTGCACCTCATTTCAATATGAAAGTCCAAAATGTATTTCATATAATCTGCAGCTTTTCAAATGCCTGTATTTTTATTTTTTCGCTGAGAGGAGGTAGGAAATGCAATGATGGAGGACAGACGTAAAGAAGGGGTAAAAAAAAAAAAGGTTCAAGGTTGCCTGGTGCATATCTTCAGTCAGTGGCCCCCTGTACATTTCAGCCTTGGAACTTCACAGCCATGAAACTTTGCTTCTACATCACTGTGGGAGAGGATGTAATGCTCACGTATCTTTGTGTGCTCATCGCCCAGCTGGCTGCCTGGCTGACTGATTGCCTGACTTACTGGTGGGATGACTATTTGACCATCTGCACTATAAATGTGTTTTTTTAACCCTTTTGTTGCATGCTTGCACTTATGACCCTTTAAAAATGGGAGAGGTTGCAGCAAGGTTGCAGTCAAATAAGTAAATTCAGCATACAGAATGTCCTCAGGCAAAATAATTTTCAGATATCAAATTGCCTGGTCAAAGGCCTTTACAATTACCATTGAAAACGCCCAGAGTTTTCCTCCAAAAAGATCTACCAAAACAGACCATGCAATTTACCACATCTTAGCCTACTAACCTTTATATTGCTGGAGTGTGGCTGTAAGGCATCAAGTATCAGCTCAAGTAATTTCAGATTCCAGATTATTCAGTCAACATAGTTCACGGTTTTCGCAGTAAAAGAAGTGGACTTCACTTAAAGCTCAAGTTATAATTTTGTCCTTGTTCAACACTGCTAAGACTGGAGTATCAAACAGAAAATGATTTCATTTGAAGTGTGCCTTACCAGAAACCAGACAACACCAGACAACACAGTAGGTAGATAAAGACCTGTACCATTTCAATTATCATTCCCAAGTGGAACATTGAAATGGCACTGTATCCTATCCAGTGGCATTTGTTTCAGTAGCTGTTCCTACAGTGTAAACGAGCGGAGGCAGTAAAGCAGCCACCTGTTGTTACCTGATAGTGTCTGGACAAGCCCAGATGCTGTTTTACTGGGACATAAAGGAGCAGTGAACGGACCTAAATAGCTAACTAAGCACTTTATATGGGTGCATGTTCTCAGGAAGCAGAACTGAAGCACAATGTTAGTAATGTACATTCAACAAAGTGTTATATGAAGAGAAAAATAAGCATAGTGTTCCAAACTGCAGTAAAAGACCAAAGCAAAACACAAGGAAAAAAGGTGAGAAATGTGTCGTGTATATACCTACAGAGGAAACTTTTCAAAAGGTTAAAAGGTTGTACAATCTTTGTACATGTGTTTGTGCCTCAGGCAGTGAAAATAACTGAACAGGGGAGGAGATGGGAGGGGAAGATGGAGTCATTTCATTCGTCTGTTTGTGTTTCCGGTGTATGAAGCAGTGTCAACCCCTCCTGAGGCAGTGTGCGTGTGTGTGTGTGTGTGTGTGTGTGTGTGTGTGTGTGTGTGTGTGTGTGTGTGTGTGTGTGTGTGAGTGCATCCGTTTGTGTATTTGTTTGTGTGTGAGTGCATCCCTGACACAAGACATAATTACCTTGTCATCTTTGTCAAAATCCTCATCCTCGTCCTCCAGCAGGTCCTCCATTGCTTGCTGACAGTTGCAACAGAGGAGAGAGAAAAGGGAGAAAGAGAAATAAAAATGTTTATGTAACAACTATAGTACAGATAAACATTAGAATCACACTTTGTTAACAATCAGAAAAGAGACAGACATGCTAAGCTGACTGGTTATGATCATGTCTGGCAAGAGTTTAAGGAGTATGGAAAGCATGCAGATAGCACAACTATTAGCTTGGTGTGTGCTAATTTTTCATGAGCCTCAGAATGATTTAGAATTAGAATTTAATTTTAGTCTGTTGTTCAAATGTGTTGACACTTCTGGAAATGTAAGCAAATGCTCTGGCTTTGAATTTCAACAGGCCGAGGATTAAAGTCTATTCATCCACTCAAATCGCATTGCACAAAAGCATTCAAATCTTATACCATTCAGTAGGACGAGAGAGCAGAACTCATCTTCTTCTGATTCTGCTTGGTCTCTTCTGACCTCTCTAACCTTTGCACTTGTCTCTCACCTCTACCATCAGCCTTCCTCTCGCTATACATTCATCTATCTATCGTCTTACATCCTCTCACAGAATGATGCTCCATGAGAGAAGAAAGAAGAAAGCCTGCAGCACAGAGAGCAAGTCACAAAGAACAGCAACTATGTGCTTCAGTGGTCCACAACCGATGAAACTGGAGCTGGTGTAGCTCTGAAGCCCCAAGATACCATGATACATACTGTACAACACAAAGGAAAAAAATGACAGAGACACACTCATGCGCACACAGTCAGAATGACAAACACAAAACGCACATATGGATACAAAGTATACTGTACAACCTAACAATGCTACATGCAAGTTTTAACTTTTCTTGTTTAGCAATAGAATTGAATTGTAGTAGAAGAATGGCTCTATGGAAAATACAGTGTCATATATAGCACAGACCTCTATCTGTATGTGAAAAGCAAGCTAATAAACAAATGTCTTGGCATATAAGGGAAGAGCAACTTTGATGTGTTTAATTTAGTGGTTTAGTGTCTGATTAGTGGTTAGTGATACTTGAATTGTGTGTCTTTGCAAGTATGCACAAGTTCAAGTGTGCAGTCTGATGCCACTGAGGCAAAAACCACAGATCACTGCTGCATCTTTTATCCACCCTCTGTGTCAATCACACATCAAAGCCACAAGGTCATATTGTTGCTCTCAATTTACATAAACAAACAGCCATATCATAAGCCCTACAGCTGTCAACCTCAGAATTCATCTGCTCTCATTGTTCTACCAACCCCAACCCCCCCCCCAAAAAAACCTTCACCCAGCCTCAACATCACCACAACCCCCTAACCACCTCCAGAACAGCACAAACTAGTTTGGAGAAATCCAAAAATCATTACTTAACAAGACAATAGCTTTTGTGCTTTTTGTTTTTCATTGGAATAAGGGGGGAAACTATGTGGCGGCTGACATAAGCCTCTTATGTAAATTCAGCTTCCCACACAAACAAAAAGGAGTTCAGAACAGCAGAGTTGAGAGGGTAGAGTCAATAGTGCGTCTGTGTGTTTCTGTGTGTGTTCTATCAATAGCTCAGAGTCACTAGGGCAAAGTGTTGTGCGCGTATGCATGGCATTTCTCGTTTGAACTGTCTGACTGTGTAGCAACTGGTTATTCCCAGTCCAATGAGACTCCATCAGTGTCTAGACAAATAAGCTTGACTGTTCACAGTTCACCCTCTCTTTATTGATACAGAATACATTCACTACTACAGTATACAAATACCAAAGAGGGAATTCTTGTGCTCAGCCGAGGCAAAAGATGTAGACGTGATACTGTAAAATGAAAGCCTTCTGGCATCGCTAAACAAATGAACTATAACTGTTTATAAAGTCATCATGGTTCCTCCCAAATCCTTTCACCCGTGCCAAAATACAAACATAATGGATTCCTCCACACAGAGGCTTTACTAGGGCACGCCTGGCACACGCTCCAAACTTTAAACAAAGGGAATGAGCATGAGCTAGCTGGAGAAGCATGACCTAGAGAGACAGAGAGAATGATAGAGTCGTTTGTCTCCCTCTGCTCTCCGCTCTGCTTTCTCTCCTCTATCGCCTCTGGTTACAGAGAGAAGTCATGTTTCCTGCAATGAGACACAGTGTAAAATTAATAAATAAAAAGACATGGAACATGTCATCTGCCCTGAAGATTGCCACGGCTAAATGTGTGCACTGAAGCTACTGTCTCTGTAAGGGAGGATATAAATTACCTCAGTGCAGCCGATGAATTCCAAACATCTTTCTTTCTCTCCCTCTACCTCTCTCTCTATTTGTCTCATTCTTTCTCTCCTTCTAAGACCTGTTTGGTGTATGATATCATTTGTCTGCTTATCCCCCCATTATCATGTTGTTTGAATTACTATCATTACAGCACGGCAGCATCAAAGCCTTGCTGTCGACAGGATCGTGTAGAGCTCACATTGCCTGCAGAGCTGCTCCAGTCAATTCAATATCTACTGAGGTGGGGATTAACATATTCAGACCTATACAAATGATACAGGGATGATGCAGGCTACTCTTACAGATTACACTGCCCCATAAATACATACAAAGATGGTGATAATATAAAATACACACAAAGAATAGATGTGAGTACAATGACATTGAGAGTTCAAACGGCTGTAAAAGTATGAATACATCTGTTTGGCCTTGGTGGCTTACACCTAAAAAGCTGATTTGCAAGAATTAAGTTTCTATTGCATTGACTCAGATCCGGGCACAAGCTCTGCTACATCACTATGATTTTTTCTCTCATACTGTACTTCCCATCAATGCATAACACTGTTTGTGAAGCACAAATTGCTGTCCATTCAAATTAATTGGAAAAAATATTTTTTATTTTTCATTATGTGTCTTTACTCTAAAAAAGAAGCTTACTATTCTGCAAGTAGAGGTTTTGATCATGTGTGTGAATGAGCAACAAAACTAAATCATAGAGGTGGTGTACAGTAGTTATCCTCTTGTTAAGGTGTCTGGAATACTTCCGTGCATCCTTGCATGACTATTTCTTTACTCTGTTTTGGTCAAGGACACTGCATAGCTACAAAGCTGGAATTATGACACTCTTGTGTTTTGCATCTTCATGTCAGCGCTTATATACAGCCTTACAGAGCCAGATCTTTCTCTACCATTTACTGTTGCTCTGTGCCAGCTGAAGTGTACGGTGCTAGCTAAAATCTGATTGGACTGAAATGGAAATAGTCTGGCAAAAAAGAGGAATATAAAGTAGACAAAAAGTCTGGAGTGTTTGGATCTAATGTTTTCCTGTGTAAGTGAACCCATGCTACACAGACTGATTGACTGAGATTTGATGAAAAGTTGTGAGAGTGGTAAAAGGGAAAGCAGTTTTTCAAGAACTGTGTTTCAGGTAGAAAATTCTGATACCCTATTGATTGACGAGAGGGAAAATTTGTGTATGCTGTTTTTGCCTCCACAGGGAGCTTCTTGCACACCGTCAACAGCACAACAGCACCCCTAAGGGCTTTTCAAGGACAAATAGACACATGAGTTTTTTACTGTGACCCTTACACAATAGTCTCATGGCTCTGTAGTGTTATGCTTAATGTAATAATAAAGGTGAGCCTAGCCCCTTAACTTAAATCAGGGCAGTATTTGTAGCTGTGCAGTTTCTGGAGCACAGTGTCTTCAATTTAAAATTGGCCAATCTTGATTCATGTCCGCTTGTAAACGCCTTACTCTGCTAACTTGAACAAAGTTAACTCTGACTTTGATGTTGGAGGATTGGGAGTATGGTCGTTCTTGTAGAACTTAGCTAAGCTAAACTTATCTAAGTGATATAAAGTGAAAAGAGCCAAATGATAACCCAGCTTTAGAAATATGGAAACTATATTCCAAGCATTAAGTTCAAAGAATTTAAGGGTAGCATTTCATTATTCAACCAGGATCGGTTTGTTTCGCGGCCACCGTAGATTCTCCTACATACTTGGTATATGATATTCATTTAGTCTATCTATAATTTCACTGCTAGATGCCACTAAATCCTACACACTGGCCCTTTAAACAAAATGTCTATCTCTGTAGGGTCCCTTCCATAATGTTGTCACACACAATTGCCCCAAAGAATCACACATTACGGCCCATTTCGTGGCTGCAGCTACCGTGCTCTCACTCAATACTGGACCAATTTCAAAAATTGTTGTCCCCATTAGTCACTTAGAGACAAAACAATGGAAAAAAGGGTTGAAAAATTCCCTTTAAGAAATGCTAAATAATTAACTAGACATACTTATCCATAGTTATACTGTATAGAAACATACAGGAGAGTTTAAATCTAACTTGACAAGTCAGGGGGGGAAAAAAAATCTACTTTGACTGGATGGACGATACTTTCATAAAGGTAAAACAGAATAGACCTTGTCAATGAAAGAAGTGTACACTCCACAGAGGGAAAGTATAAATCTACTACCTGAAGTAGCAGCCACATCATCTTCACCCCTCCTCTCAAATGCCTCTATAATCGCCCCTCTCTTTCCCTGGCCGGGCTGAGTTCCACTATCTCCCCTCCTAACCTTCCCAATGACAGCCGCAGGGGGAATTGACGCCGAGGCAGACATCCCGGCGAACATGAAGATATACTTTCTCCTCCTTTTTTCTCCCATTCCTCTATCCCTCCCTCCCTCCATCCTCCTGCTGCTCTTCCTCTTTGATACGTGAGGGGGTTTTAACCTCTCCAGCTGCTGAGGTTTGGCCGACTGGCTGACTGGGGGATCTCAAGGCCCTACTTGGTATGCACTGTCCATGAGTATATGTGTGTGTGTGTGTGTGTGTGTGTGCATACTGCCTACACCACAGTTTTCTGCAGACTGGGGGAGGGCTGTGAGTCTGATAAGGGCTTCTGGCTGAGTCTGGCTGACCCACGCGGGCCCTTCACAAGCTGTCAGAGCCGTGGCCCTCAGAGGGGGGCCCTTCCATCTGCACTGCCCCAGCCAGGGCTCACCCAGCAGGGGGCTGGATAGGGTTGAGGTTGGGGTGCTACC